AGATAAAGATAACACCAATATTACACAAGGACTAGATCAGGACTAGACCAGGACTAGATCAGGACCAGACCAGACTAGACCAAGACTAGACCAAGACCACACCAGCACCAGACCAGGACCAGACCATGACCACACCAGGACCTGATCAGACTAAGACTAGACCAAGACTAGACCAAGACTAGACCAAGACTAGACCAAGACTAGACCAAGACTAGACTATGATCAAACCAGGACCAGACCAGGACCAGACCAGGACTAGACCAGGACTAGACCCGGACCCGAACCAGACCAAGACCTGATCAGACCAAGACCAGACCAGACTAGACCAAGACTAGACCATGACCGGACCTGACCAGGACCTGACCATGACCAGGACTGGACCGGACCAGGACCAGGACCAGACCAGGGCCAGACCAGGACCTGATCAGACCAGGACCAGACCATGACAACACCAGGACCTGATCAGGCCAGTAAAAGACCAAGGCAGGACCAGACTAGACCAAGACTAGACCATGACCTGACCAGAACTCAAACCATGCCCAGATCATGACTAGACCAGGACTAGACCAGGACTAGACCAGGACTAGACCAGGACTAGACCAGGACTAGACCAGGACTAAACCAGGACTAGACCAGGAGCAAACCAAGTCTACATCAAGACCAAACCAGGATCAAACCAGGATCGAACAAGCCTGAGAATGTGAGCGTCTTTACCTCACGGTGTTAATAATGAAACACAACTTGACTATTTGAGCATAACTCGATATGTCAACAGTGAGCCTGGTGCTTGGAAATGGAATAAAAAGTCAAATATTCCACTGAGTTAAAAGCTCTCCACGCCTTTTTGATGCCGCTGTCTGGAGGTTTTCTGGTCCTGAAAGAGGGGAGTGACAGGCCAGACACGGCTCTGAATCTCAACCACTTTTAGCAGCTACACCCTTGAACCTTTTTGAACCTGGCAACCACACAGTCTGTGTGTCTGTTTTCCTGTCCCAATAGTGACTGCATACTTCTGTCTGTGTCTTGGCAGTATAATGACGAATGTGATCCTCTGTAGGGTAACGTGGGATCTGAAATTGAAATGTTAAAAGTGCACTGTGTAACTTTTCTGATGTCAAAGCTTTTCTTGGAATATTACACAGTATGACATTAAACTATCACAGTATTATAGAAACTAGCAGGAGGGGATACTACAAAGCCAAATTACTGGTCAGGCCTGTGGAGAGGCCACCCCACTCACAGTAATGCTGCGTTCAGAGGCAATCCACTTTTTTATTTCTATAGCACATTTCACAAAGAGTTTCCAAAGTGCTGCACAAGTACATACTAATAACAACAATAATAAAATGATAAAATAAATGCTCAGATTTAATCATACTAGTCTTAAAACAATAAAACCAGAAAAATAAACATAAGAGCAAAATCATAGAATAACAATAAATAAATAAAGCCAATAAAATACATAAAAAATAAATAAAAGACATAAAGGACCACACAACTCACGTGGTGTTAAAAGTGGCTCGTAAGATGAGACTTAAAACTCTCCACTGTGGGGACTGTTGGGATGTGGGGGGGCAGAACGTTCCAGAGTTTGGGCCAACCACAGAGAAGGCCCCGACCCCCTGATTTTAAGTCTCGTCTTGGGCACCATGAGCAGGAGCTGGCCCTTGGACCTCAGAGTGTGTGAGGTTGTAAAAGAGCATCAGGTTTACATGCATGGTCTATGGGCAGAACAGGTGTTTTTAACCTTTAAAAACATGCATTGTTACTGTGAGCAGGGTCATCGCTGGCGCCACCTAGTACCTCAGCTCAATTTAATTTCTCTCTAGCGACTAGGTCAGGAATCAGAATACACTAGACAGTTTGCAAGAACCCCAGAAGTTGTAGACCGCGCACCGGCCAATCAGCAAAGAGCTGTGAAGCCATGATGTCAAACTCAAGCGCCTGTCTGGGTCCCTTTGTGGTACAGCACAACAGTAAGCGAAGTGGTTGAGATGGATGTAGACGAAGACATACATTCTGTGTTGGTAACAATTCCCGAGATCAAGGATTTAAAGCCGCAACAAAGAGAATGTTTGGTGAATTTTATCAAGAGGAAAGACGTTATTGCCCTTCATCCTACGGGATTTGGTGCATTACATATGTCACAACCAAATAGCATTGATTGGTTAAATAAAAAAAAGTACCCACCTACCATCAAGTGAACGAATCCTAATACTGCCAGGTCAGACGGTTTCCATGAAGTGAAACCGGCCAATGAATCAGTCTAGGTCACCCCTTCGTGAATCTGACCACTAATTTGTCCTATTGGCGTCTTGTGCTTGTGTCCATGGAGATACTATAGATAAAGTTAATACCTTAAAATGAAATATGTCAAGTAAAGCAAGAACATCCCCAAAACAACAAGCACATCTGAAAGTTACATAGTGTACCTTTTGTGACCTGTGCGATATTATCAGAATATTCAACATAGAACAGTTATATCCCCATTTTTATCCAACACTTTAGTGTCTAGTCACACACACCTTCTCATTTCCCTTCTTAGCAGTAATTGGCTTCTTTATAAAGCAAAACCGTGTCTATATAAGTTGATTTTAGCTGTTGGACGCGCAAATCGCTGGGTGGTGAAGGTAATAAGGCAGCTGAGTTGATGTATTCCTGTTCTCTTCTATTAGGTTTGATCTCATGGAGCGTGTGGTTAAGGAAACGCTCAGGCAGAAGACAGCGGCTTCCTCATTAGGACAAGTTGTGACATACAGAGAGAACAAGTACTGTACATAATGTGTTTACGTGCTGTCTGCGTAAAATATTGCAAAGGGACATTTAAAACCACTGTGTAGGCAAATGGAGCTAAAGTTCATAAGGAAGTAATACAATATAGAGCTTAGATTAACTTAAAATATGATCTAATGGAGTTATGCTTTTCAAAACACTCCTATATTACACAAAATTGACCTTTGTAAGCTTTAAGTTATGTTATAATATTGTTATATCATCAAAAACAGTTGTGTGTTGTGAGTAGGGATGGGCATTCGATGAAATTTTCTTAATCGATTGTCGGAAGAATTAATGATCGATTATGGAGTAATCATTAACGTTTTTATATTAAAATGATCATCATTATTATTACTATCTGCACTACTAATCTGCATAAATAAATTCAACTTTGCGACATATAAACCGTAACAACTCTAGAGCCACATCAGCCCGTTTGAGATTATAATGTGTTTAATTCAGTTTTGCACAACTCTCACAGAAACGAAACTTAAAACCGCATTGCTAATTTGCATAAACTAAGCAAAGATAAAACTACAGCTCTTGTGCGCTGATGCGGTCAATTTCTGTCAGATTAAAAGACATGATTCAGTGGAATACAGGTTAGTGTGACCATATTTGTGTTTGTCAGAACCAGGACACCGTACGCGGGGGGGGGTAGGAGGTGGGGTCTCGTCATTGACATTGCGCTACTCTCACCTGGCAAAGCTTTTTCCCACCGGACACCGAAACATATGTGCTGCTTTGTACACTGTGCACATGGACTCACACTTGTCTCGACTGGAACGGAAAGCGTGGAATTTCTTGTACAAGTCATCGTTAAATACGCATTTGTGCTTCGGTACGTTGCAGACTGACCAACTGTTTGTGTCTCGCTCCTTCTGAGTGCAGAGAGACACATGTACGGACCCGTTTGGTCACTCTACACAGCAACTTACATTCGGTTTGTCGACTAAAATTAACGTAATCGATGAAATTCTTAATGATCAATTATCGATTAATCGACTAATCATGCCCATCCCTAGTTGTGAGTTGTGTTTTGGTTCATTCACACATGTTTGAGTAATCCTGCATTTTTAGTCTGTCTGCATCTCCAAAGCTCAAAATGCTCTTTTCCACCTAACAGTATATAACTCTTCATGATAAATAATTAATCCCTTTGCGAAGCCCCGTGAGTTTTTTTTTTCAGAATACAGACAAAGGTTTATTCTTGTTACAGCAGATATGGACAGGGCCTAAGCCTGCCCTGACCAGAGCCCGACAGCCTCTCTTGAAGACCCCTTCTCGCCAACTCCCCCCAGAGCATCTCCACTGAACATCCCCTCTGAGTCTCTCCCCCAGAGCATCTGAGCTCTGAGTATTTATACAGAAATACAAGTTAAATACATATCAAAGCAGAGTGGCACTTGTTTCACAGGCTCCTGCTAATCAACATACATTTGAGGACAGCTAAGACAACAAAGGGCTTCCTGAGGGTGAGGACAGTTGTGTCTGCTGAGTGTTTACACTTGCTATTGACTGGTTTTGGTCTCAGGTAGTAATCGCATTTATTTACACACAGACAGATTGAGAGAATTTTTTCCACAATATAAATTTCCATCACATGTGGAGTTTAAAATCACAGTGGAGCACTTCCTGTGTTACCACATGACAGCAGTGTGACACAGAACGCAACTCTAGGCATGCTTTTGATGAGGAAACATTATAACAGAGATCAGAAGGGTTGCCACGTGCTCGTCTCCTTGTAGATGTTACTGTTCTGTCTGAAATGTTGAAAGATATGGCATTGAAAATAGTCTCTCTTGCTTTTATTCAATTACAGGTGGTTTTGTGCTCAAAAGATACCTTGAAATGCTTTCTTGATGCTTATACCAAAACATTCTATGAGATCAAGTCAAGTGAGGGAAGAAAATGCATCGCTTTCTGCAGTATTGTTGCAATTCTAAAATTAAGTAATTCAGTAGTTTATGTTGATATTTTCCAGTATGAAATGAAGTTCAGGTGAGTCATATAAGTAAATTTTGTATTAATAAAGTTTCACACTAATACAAAGAAAAAGCATCCATGATAAATATTGATCCCCAGAAATCCCCATGCATCCGTATTGAATAAATCAATGTAATTCATATTGTGACAGGCCTATCTCTCCACAGATTCACTTCCAGATTGTCTTTCAAATTCTCTTGCTTGTATCACTAAAGTGTAGTTTTGTTGTCTCCGTTTAGGTGACCCTCCAGTTGGTTTCCGAGATGTCCTGCTGCGTGACGGGCCTGAGGGCTTTGCGAAGGCTGTGCGCGCTCACCCGGGTCTGCTCCTCATGGACACCACCTTCAGAGACGCCCACCAGTCGCTCCTGGCAACAAGGGTCCGCACGCACGACCTCAAGAAGATCTCACCATTCGTCAGCCATAACTTCAGCAACCTGTACAGCCTGGAGAACTGGGGAGGTCAGTGCAGATAAAACACATGGAGTTTGTGGAATTTAGTTTGTTTATGTATTTCATAGCTACAGTTTGAACATGGCCGTAATAACACTTTACAATGGGTAGATTGAGATATCCAAGGATGACAATTTGTATCATCGATCGCTCATTCACACACAAACACAGTGGATTGGTGGTGAAACTACTGAGCTACTGAGCAAAATCTTTCAAACGTACTGCTTTGTATCAGACAGAGAGACATGGTCAAACCTCCTTGTCAAAGCCTGATCTCGTCAAATCTCAGAAGCTAAGCAAAGCCGGGCCTGGTTAGCGCTTGGATGGGAAACTGCTGGGAAAATCAGGTGCCGCAGTGGAGCGGCAGTGGTTAAAAAAAAAAAAAAAACTGCTGTTGTATCCTTAGGCAAGACAGTAAACCCACATTGCCTTGGATGAAAGTGGTGTGACTGGTGGTGGTTGGAGGGACTGATGGCGCAGTCAGTCTGGAATGAATAACGCACCAAAATGTAAAGCGACTTTGAGCGTCTGGAAAAGCGCTATACAAGACTCATGCATTATTATTTTTATTATGAAAAGTGAGCGATGGAGAAACAGACGAAGAGAGAGACAGAGGGAGAGAGAGAGAGAGAAAAAGAGAGACGCAAAGAGAAAGAGAGAGATGGACTGAGACCGAGTCTGAGAGAAATATTTATATAGTTTCATACTAGTATAGATTCCTCTGATCAGGGGTCTCCAACCTTTTTCTTCTGGTGAGCTACCTTTACAAAAAGAAAATGCCAAAGAGTTACTTTTTTTTAACGGTCAAAAGAAATTGAGCATAGGAAAGCCTTAGATGGGGAACAGGTCGATACCTATAAAACATAAACCTTTATCCATTTATTAGTGCACAGAGTATAGGGTGACCAGACTTTCAAAATAAAAAAACTGGGACATCCTCGTTTTTTGGTGGTTGGTGATAATAAAATTGTGAAATGAGTGTGTAATTAAGGAAAATTGTTACACAGAGACCATTCATGACTGACATGCGAGTCAGTATAATCACATTTTTAAGCAGTTTTTCTGTATTTTACCTAAACACATTTGAATTTATGTCTCTCTTTACTGTTGGCAGGTATGAAATTGGTCAAAAATGGGGACACCCGTGACATTTCTTCTATAAAACTGGGACAAATTAGTGGTTTTGTATAAATCTGCTGGGACAGGGGACACAGGACTCAAAACTGTGACAGTCCCGGGTAAATAGGGACGTCTGGTCACCCTAACAAAGTCAGGCATCAAAATGATAAATTTACAATGGTAGTTCATCAAATTTGAGTCATTCAGCCAATATGTATACTTGAGAAATCCTTTGGTGAGCTACTTGGAAGGGGGTGGAGAGGTACTGGTAGCTCCCAAGCTACAAGTTGGAGACTCCTGCTCTAGATATAGATTGATATATATACATAGTGGTTGCCAGTGGGAAAAGGCATGCAATGGTAAGGATTTCCTGTTATGCTTAAATTCAGTAGTTGAACATGAGCACGACGATCTTCACAATATTTACCTGCAAATGTCTATATTACACAAACGTTCACTTGCAAATAGTCTGACAAACCCACACAAATGTTAGTCACAGATATAAAGTTATTTATTTATTAACAATATTCGCGAAGCTGCTGAACAAAACTACTGCTAATGTGTTTCTAAATATCTCTTAATGTCCCTGTGACTCCGCTGAGTGAATTGGACTTAAGTGCTCTATCATTACAAACACACTTGTGATAATGCCTCTGATACAACGTCCTGTGGCATGGCACCGTCCCTTTAAACACAAACCATCCCTTTAAAAGAGTAAATAAATGTTTGCATAATTTCAAAATTGAAAAAAAAAAAAGGCAGACAGATAAGAAATGCTATTGTTTATGTTGTTTTCATTTATTAATATGGCTGTTACTAAATCTCAGTTATATTGAAGTTGTGTCCTTGTGCAAGACACTTCTCCTTGCCTCTAGCGTCAGTGTACATATGTATGAATAAGCATTTGCAAGAGCAGAATCAAATAAGGACAATGTTGTTATTTAGCTTCTCTTGTGTCCATAGAAAATACATGAGGATTTTGAAGCCTTCTCTCTTGTCTTAACTCGGAACGAAAAATGAAAGTAGACTCTCTCAAAGCGGTCCCTTCTCCTGTCATCATGTTGTTTTCGTATGCTGTGTCTCTCTAATGTACTTTAGTGGCGATGCATTGCTCTGAGAGGGAGGCCCATATTCTCTGTCAGACTCCTGATAAAGACAGAGTGCTGCTGTTTAAAACTTCAGAAAGCTTTTAGTGAAGACTTGAAATCGTCGCTCGCTCACACCTACTTCAAACACAGTGTTTATGACAGTGAGAGCGATAGCAGGTTTCAAAAACTAAATTTATAGTGCCATTAACTATTTTGTTTTCGCCTGAAGTAAACAGTTACAATGTGTAATGGGTTTGCAGTAATAGGTATCGCAGATGTAGATTCGTCATTACTTTCAACACTGCTAAATATGAATTGTGTTTTTGACTATGTTAGATTAAAGAAGGCATATTTTACATCTATGGGGTATTAGCTTTTATTGTTTTGAAAGTCACTCCCCCTTCACAACACAATCGGCGTGTATCCCACAAATAAAACGACCGTATTTTCCATGCTACAGGGCGCGCTCTTAAGCCTCCAACTCCATCAAAAAACGATGCGCCCCACAATCCAGAGCGCAATATACACTCCGGTGTCCCAACATGACTTCAGTAAACTACAAAGCCGCACCACCCGTAGCCACACTCATCACTCCACAGACCGGAGAAACAAACCGACAAAACGAGTCCAATGTGCCACTCTGAGCACCCACAACTGACACACTCCCTCAACTGAGTCACTGAAACCAAACAACGCCACAATCATAGTCAATACAGAAAAGTGTACAGTTTTGTATCATGTTTTTGTATATTTCTGGAGTATTGTCGTGTGGGATCATGAATGATGTAGTGTTGTGGGCTGAGCAATGGACAGAATCTTGCAGCTAACCATTAGGAAAGTTCATATAGGGCCCAAGAGAGAACGCTAACATGCATGGATCTAAAACCTCTCCAGGCATCTTTTTAATGAGGGAACAACATTATAACATGATAGAAAAGTTAAAAAAGAAAAATCGATTTTGCATAACAAGCCTGTCTTTACATGGTGCATATGACCTTGATTATACAACATTTCTGACTAGATTGAGCAAAATAAGTACAGCTCAAAAACAACATGGACCTATTCAAATAACTCCAGATCCACCAGGCGAACAAAATTTCTCTTTCATACTAATTTGTCATTGTGTCTAGATATTTGATAGCCAGGTAGAGCTCATTAGACTAGGTTTTCAAAGAATTCTTTTGCAAGTTTCACACATTTACATGACACAGATTGAATGAGTGCAATATATCAAAACTCACTTTTTTATGTGTTTTTTACGCACAGGTAATTCAAAGCAAAGATATAGCGGTTAATAAAACATGTAATGATATTAAGGAAATAACTCAAATGATTTCAATAACTCAATGGTAATTTTTTTGCAGTAGAATGTAATTTTCACCACAAAGCAAGGTAGTTTTTATAAATCTACCATGTGGTCTTATACTACACTTAGATCCAGGGCATTCTATATTAAGGAAATTCTGTCTTATTCATGTGATATTTATAGTATCGATACTTGTTTTTTCTAGATTTTTAATGCTTTAAGACACCACAAAAAAAAAAGAAAAAGAGAAGCAATACAGACACTGACAAGGAATGTAAGTAAATTTATACAGAGAGACACGCATTTGTCTACATACCTTATTTTCCGGGCTATTAGGCGCTCTGGATTATAACACGCACTGTCATTAAATGGTCTATTTTCGAACCTTTTTCACAAATAAACTGCACTGGACTTTAAACGAAGCACAACAGTTGGATGGGTCAGTGGGACTTTGTTTGGCGGGTTCACGGTGACTCTGGGCTTTGTTCAGTTGTGGCGTGTAGGGAGGGTGCTGTCTGGGACCGCTGGATTGTTGGCGTGTTCGCAGTGACTCAGTTGTTCAGTTGTGTCTAGAAGTGGCACTCGCTTTTTCGGTTCGTTCCTCCGTTCCGTTCCTCGTCCGTGTGGAGTGATGAGTGTGTCTGCGGGTGTGTTTCGCTGTGCGGTCGCTGTCTGCTCCGTGTGTGTTTGCGTGCGCTGTGGGTGGTGCGGCTTTGTAGTTTACTGAAGTCATGCTGGGACACCTGAGTGGATTTGTGTATAGGGTGCTCTGGATTGTGGGGTGTGCAGTCGTTTTTTGATGGGGTTGGAGGTTTAAGAGTGCACCTAATAGTGTGGAAAATACAGTATATACATTATCTATAGGACAGTCTAGGTCAGTAAATTTATACCTACATGGCCAGCGATACCAAAACAATCTTCAGATATGCACCAGTGCTGAAAAACAATCACAGGGGTGCTAGTTTTGATACTAGTTCTAGTATCTGGGTGTTGATACTTGATTACTGCCTATGAATTCAATTTTTGAGTGTAGATGATCAAAGTCCTTTAACACAGGCAGTGCTCCAAAGATATTAGCATTCACTTTCACATTTACTCCCTTTTGGCCATTTAGATGCATTAGTTCAACTTTCATGTCTTGAATTTGAGCATGGGTGAAAAACAGAGTAGCAAAGCAAAGCAAATTACCTCAGTTACCTTCGTATTATGTAAATACTGCAACAGTGTGAGCCATTGTAACTGATGGTCTGCAGCTTACACCTCAGTGGAGATGTCTTGTAGTATACGCTGTGTTTTGCAGTTAAATTACATTGAAACGTAATGGCTCTATGTGATAGCACGGACGCAGGCACCAAAGCTGAAAGTCGCTACAGTTTGCGCCCTTTACGAGTCAAATCTTCTACAAAGATGTCTGAGCCTGATTGAAAAGTATAGCTGTTTAAAGCCATAACAGAGACTAAAGTGTGAGGAGCCGAACTGTCAAAGAGAAGCATGGT